TCGATATAATGACATAAGAGCTAGAATTTGAGCATATTGACATGTCGAAGTTAACTTCCGGTCTGACCGGAAGTAACATCAACTTTCTTATTTTAAATGGAAACCCTATTTTTTTTTCTTTTCGCTTTATTCAGCATTCAATTCCCTTTCTAATGACATATCACAAGTTGGTATCTAACCAGAAACTAGATCAGAAAAAAATTATTATTGTTCTGTTTTTTTGTTATTTGAAGAATAATAATTGGATTTTTTGGTATTTCATTTCAAAAAATTACTTTCTATTATATCATTAGAAAGGAATGGTTATGCTGAATAGTACAGGCAAGAAAAAGTTGTATGTTCCTATTTAAGTTATGGACCTACAGAGTATTGCTTTTTTCTCAATTTTTACAATATTTTTTTTGCGGCTTTTTATAACGCCGACGAATGAAAATAAAATATCACAGTAGTAGCAACTGTTATCAAGTGACGTATGGTTTCCATAGCCAACTTTTCAATTTTTGGCTTTCATTTTGCTTCCACGGCCTACTCGGTGAATTTCAATAATGATTTTTTTCTGATCTAGTTTCTGGTTAGATACCAACTTGTGATATGTCATTAGAAAGGTAATTGAATGCTGAATAAAGCGAAAAAAAAAAGTAGGGTTTCCATTTGAAATAAGAAAGTTGATGTTACTTCCGGTCAGACCGGAAGTTAACTTTGACATGTCAATATGCTCAAATTCTAGCTCTTATGTCATTATATCGACGCTCCAAATTTCACAAACCTACTTCATACAATAACTGAGATATTCCGTAGGCAATACTTCCGTAGCCACCCGGTATACACAGAGAAGTGCACATAAAACGGCAAGGACTCTAACTTTTGAATTATTCGACATAGGGTTTTGAAAATTGGTGGGCAGCTAGTATACCAAATTGCTCATTAATTGACGAAACAATTTTTGTTCTATTGATTGATTGATTGATTGATTGATTGATTGATCGATTGATTGATTGATTGATTGATTGATTGATTGATTGACTGATTGATTGATTGATTGATTGATTGATTGATTGATTGATTGATTGATTGATTGATTGATTGATTGATTGATTGATTGATTGATTGATACGCTTTATTGTCCAAAGCGGTCCAAAGAGTATATCTTATTGACAATGAGAATTTGAACTAGAGAATTTCCTTTTATGTTTATTGATAAGGCAAACCGTTTCTAATATAAAAATGGCATATAGCGTCAAGATTTCATCTTTAATAAATAGAGGCTTGCAAGAAACTCTTGGTTTGACCTTATTCAGGTATCTTATTGCTCTGTCCTGTAAAATAAAAACTGATTTCAAATGAGTATCAGCACAAACTCCCCAGAAAGGTATTCCATACCAAGTGAGATTCTATCAAAGAGTTATATACAGTTTTGGCTGCAGAAGGTCCTAGTTCACTAGAGATTATCCTAACAGCATAACATCCTGATGACGGTTTTTTATTGAGCATTGCAATGTGGTCTTCGAATTTCAGTTTGTTGTCTATAGATACCCCAAGAAATTTTGTGCATATATATTTTGTTGGTGATCACACTGTCGTTCGTACCTAAAGGTATATCGTCGATCCTACAACGGAAAGAAACTACATTGGTTTTTGTTATGTTGAATGATAAAAGATTACAATCACACCACTCTTTGATTTTTTCAATGTCTGAACAAATATAATCATGAAGATCAGTCGCATTATTTGCCCGCCATAGGATTGTAGTATCATCCGCGAATAGAGTGAATCTTCCTTTTATATCGATAGAGGTCAGATCATTAATATATAATAAAAAAAGCATTGGTCCCAATACCGATCCCTGAGGTACTCCGTTATTGATTTCAGCTTCAGCCGATTAAGTTGTAGTTTTAACAATCTGGCTCCTACCTGATACCTATGTATGATTTAAACCATTTGTGAGTGAGGGAGATTGGGCGAGAATTTGATAGATCCTCGGGGTCACCTCCTTTGTGGAGAGGGATGACAACCGATGTTTTAAGGAAGGAAGGGAATACACCAGTCTCAAAAGATTGATTTATTAAGGCTACTTAAACATTCAGAGCAGTGGCGGGTAGATTTTCAAATATTCTCATTGACAATTCATCAATTCCAGATGCCGTTTTATTTTTAATAGATAGTATTACGGATTTTAGTTCACTGATATCCGTGGCGTATAAGATCAAACTTTCATTCATCGTGACATTGAATTATACATGACCTTTTCTCTTCATTTTCACGAGTTATAGTGCCTATCAGAGATTATACAAAATCTCTGTGTCTATTAAATGTTCCCAATTATAATCTGAAACACCCTGTATACTGAAGAAGAGATAAATCTACGACTGTTCAGTTTTCAGTACCAATTTGAGATCTACTGAATTTAATTGTCGATACAGTAAGTTTACTTTTGTTTTTGTTCTAGGTGAATTTCAGAGAATACACCATAATCTATCTAAATAGTTCAAACTCATATGAGACCAGCATCAGACCGTATAATTTAATCTGTGTCAGACTAATACTCAAAATAATTGAAAAAATATACCACTTGAGCTTTGAGGTACAATAATTGCTTGATCTACCAAAAGTTCCGTTCGTTGTCATGATATTTCAATTTTCATTCATTATCATTTAAGTATCTAAACTTTGTGAAAATACTCAGATTTATCTTTAGCAGTCGCTATCACCCATGATACAGAACACCCGTTATCTTATCTAATTATTATTCTAGTGTATACAGTTGAGTGTTGGTAAAGCCCAGTGGCGGATCAACTGGAGGATAAACACCTCTGCCCGAATATAGTAAAATATTATTCGTTCAGATAATTTGGAGAGGTCCCAAAGATTAACTTTCGTAAAATAAAGTTTTCCAAGAAATTAACGACCCACCAAACAGTATTTTTTTCAAATGTACAACAAATGTGGCAACACTGCATTGCTGAAATCATTTTAAATGAAGAGAGCGTATTGTAAAGTATTAGCATGCATATTTTCATGTATTTCTCCCGACTGATTCTCGATATAGAGATAGTGTAAGCTCGTTGTGACATACATATAATTTGTTGTTCAAGGTCAAATGCCTTCAAATATTGATAGTTAGGTCTGTCAGCAGGGTTTAATAATAGTTACTTATGTATCAAGGGCGTAAAGTAGGCGTTTATATGGCCTGCGGCGTGAATAATGGCACGATGGCGTCAGCCGAGAGCCATTACACGCTGAAGACCATGAACGCATATTAGCGAGTATTCTACGCTCGTGATGCATACAACATTTTATGCACTAGTGATTCATTCCTAGAGTCAAAAGTAATGACTAGTGCATACAGGTGAATGAAAATGATTCCAATTGTCAATTTAATATTCCTGAAGACAACGAAAATCGCATTATAAATGTGAACTTAACTTTGACCCGATGAAAATACGTGAGTGTAAGTCAGTAAGACAATTTAATGAATAATGAATAAATTAAATCACTTTATTGTTGATGGTTTTTTTCAATTTATCCACTTGAAGACTCCAAATCGCGACGTTTCGACAGATTAGATACTTTTCTGAGAACGCATCAAGTTCCAGGAAACATAATATAAACACCATCAAAATTTTGTTTGAAATTTTGGTTTTCATGCTTTCGAATTTTTTCGGTTTTGTTGCTGGAGACAAAATCACAGCAGCTTATGGGATTTTATCTCGGATTTTACATACGAGGTGTTTTTGATTCAGCTCATCGATATACAGTCTAACGAATATTCCCATGATATCAGATTTTTTCTAATTACTCTATTCAATGGGAAATTTCATCTCGAAAATTGAACAAAAAACGATAAAAAAAATCAAGTATGCCACTTTAAAACGTAATTGTGCCTTCCGCACCGAAATTTGAACAGAGTTGACGTCATATTTGCTACAGTGTAGAAATTTGGGTGGAAAAAGGGGTCTAACCCCAAATTTTATTTTGATGCCTATATTTTTGTATTGGTGCCATTCGATAGTATACGTCAAGCTCTCTCAGGGTATAAAATATTTACATACTATTTTCAATGCTACCCTGTATATAAATTAAATTGACAAAATGAAAAACGATCTTGCACGCTGCAGTTTTGCCATTTTTCAGTTTTTAGGAAGAAATCGATCAGATACTAGTTATTACATGTTACATGAAAAAAGATTCAGTTTGTAAATCTGAATGTTAATTTTGATTTTTTTCGCTATGCTGAGGAGGGGGGGGGGTTATGCCATAGACCATAAGTCTACATGGGTTATGCTGAAAAAGCGGTAGATTCACTGTCACCAGAACGACCGTGGATTTTATCTGGTAAGTTCGGTAAGTTGCCTTGTTTTTGTTTTCGGTTTACAAATTATTATTCAATTATTGGTATTTGATAAATTAATAATATTCGATATAGTTCCAGTTTGATGACTTTTTTTCTAATTCAGGACACTATACATCCTTTGCTTGTGCTTACTGTGCACAGAAATTAGGGACTTTCCATAATTTCCATAATTGAAAATGAAATACTGGCAGAGCACGAACGTTTGAAAAACGATCAAAACTATAATTTGACAAATGACTGGCATTCCGTAAATAAGCCACAACCGTAGCCACCAGTAGATAACCAATGTTAAAATTGTTGGTACCGACCCTGGAAGCATCGGTAACTTCTGTTGATTAACGGAACATATCCTTAGCATTATCACACCCCTTGTATACACGCCTGCTGAGCCAACAATGAATAAGCAATACCTACATGGAAGTACTGCTTCGCCAATATATATTGGCATAATGCCAATATTATAGCGATGATAGTTCACTAATGGGGTGACATTACCCAAAAGGCCCATGTATTGGAAAGTGCAGATGCAATAAAGTCTTATCTGCACTTTGCCCCATTCGCTCTGTATAACTCAGAGGATTAATTCTGTTTACAAAGACTCGCAAGGGGTAGGAAGGGAGGCTCATAACCCCGTGAAATTTCCTCTCACCTTTTCAACTCCTCCTCCGGTCGACTAGCATAGCCCCCATTGTTGTTAACGAAATTCGCCTCCCTTTGCAAATTCGCTCTGTTGTTCCTATTCACCAATCGCCTGAAGGAACCCCTCGATTGCCTCAAGTTCCTGTTGCTCCTTCCGCAGACTTTCCCCTTGTTGCCGAACTGCCCCACCTTCTTCTGCTTCATGCTCTTACCACCGGACAACACCTCCATACCGCTAACCCCCGATGGGACCCATAAGGGGGGTAGTTATAGTCCCTCGGCCGGTCACGTGGCTAGATCAGGTGTGTGACAGCTGACAAGGCTGGTCGGCCATTTTGAGGGGGTAGCTGACACCTCAACACTTCAGCTTCCAGAGGGAAGAAATCTCGCGATCGGCTTTTGTTGTTGACGTAACGGATCGAGAGTGCGTAGCATGCGAAACGATAGGCAATGTTGTGTCGACCGACGAACAACAGTTGTACAATGTACGGATATCTCAATCCCGTGTATTTTCGAATTCGAATACCCCCACACGTTCGTGAGTTCGTGGTTACGTCATCGTCGAGAGAGAGACCTCGCTAGCTGGAGATTGAATCGACGCTAAAGCAACAACTGAACCTTTATTTTTCATCGACTTACTTGATCGTTCCACCCGGAAAGAAATGTTTATTTATGTAGGTGCATGTACAGTTTGTACAGGGTGATTCGCTGCCTTTGTTCTTCCGATGAAATAGCTAAACATAACTGTAGACCTTCAGAAAGCATTTGATGTAGTAGATCATAATATATTATTAACGAAGTTGAATACATTGGGATACATTCCTGTGAACAGTATGTCTCACAGATAGAAAACATAAATTGTGGAGTACCACAGGGCTCAGTCCTGGGTCCATTGTTCTATTCTCTACACACTCTTAATTTAAAAAAGGCAAATGCAATAGCTCTTTACTAAACATTTGCGGATGACACAATACTTGTTTATGAAGGAAAAGATCTAAAAGAACTAGGAAGCAGACTTAATATAGATTTGAACCTATATTCGGAATGGCTGTTGAGTAATAAATTGAAAATTAATGTACAAAAAACAGTCTATATAATATTCAAGAATAAAAACAAAGAAAGTCAGGAGCTCACTATTAAAATTGGGGATAATATGGTCAATAAAGTGGAAAATACAAAATATCTAGGGCTAATTGTTGACGACAAACTCAACTGGCAAGCACACATAGAACACATGACAAATAAAATTGTTCCAATGATATAGGAGCCCTGTATAGATGTACACAACACAAACATCCCTGGGATGTTTTGGGATGTTTTGAAAATGTTGGCATGAAGATGTTATTTTGAGACGTAATATGCACTGACCAAAGAGGTCTTTGAAGGATATTGAAGTATTGTTTTTGTTCTTCTGTGGCATTTCTTTGTTTGCCTACTGAGAGGTATCCCTGGGATGTTTTGGGATGTTTTAGAAATGTAGGCATGAGGATGTTTTTTGAGGCGTAATATGCACTTCCCAAAGAGGTCTTCGAAGGATATTGAAAGTATTGCTTCTGTTGTTTTGTGCCCTTTCTTTGTTTGCCCCACCACAACGTCTCATGCTTACGTCACAATACGATGAATTCTGATTTGTTTTCGATTTTGTTCTTCGTACATCACGCTGCTAACGAACAGAAAGGAATTTGGTGAAGTTTATTGTGTTAGAAGACTTATTTAGTTTGTAATATAATGACCATCAGATGCAAGATGTGTTGTTCGGTGCCTCAGTCACAGATTATTAATCTGTGCCTCAGTGTAATCAATATATAAAAGTACGAATTCATCGATACACAGCTTCTCCGCAGTTGCAAAATTATGCATTGTGGAGAACATTTCAAAAATTGGGAAACCTATTTCCAATTATATGTCTGTGTGTAGTAAGCACTACTCAGAAACCGATTAAGAAGGTAATTTCATATCAAGAAAATATTTTTATGTTGAATCTATTTTTAATGCATTTCTTCATTCAAGGGAAATGGAATCCTAATGCAAAAGTTCATTTTGACAAAAGGCTTCAGAAAAGTACCTCGAAAATGGTTTTTTTACAGCGATTTAATGTGCGCAAGACGCGTTGAAAATGTTCTGTTGTGTCCATGAAAAGGCTTTAAAAAGAACTATAGGGAGAAGGTAGTTTTGTGACATATCAAGGACATCTCGATAATTGCCGCCTGCGGCGGACATTGGCTGTTCTATAATAGTTCTATTCATGTGTGAACAGAACATCGCAGTGGAGGTTCAATGTCTCGAAATCTCGTACTTTTAACATCTCTGAGATGTTTTTGTGCTCGCTGGGAAGCTACTGATCTATAATAAATAGTTACTTCCTCTCAATATTCCGATATTCAATAACGAATTGGGGAGTTTGCTCAAATATCTAGATGAAAAAAGTCAAAACATTACAAAACAAAGTAGTAAAGGTCCTGTTTGATTTTGATTATAAAACAAATACCAATATATCATATAGTGTCACGGGAATATTACCACTGGATAAAACTCTACAAATTGAACAATGCAAATATATATAAAGTCTCGAAAAATCAGCAAAAAAGTAATACACCAATGAATTTAGTAAACCAAGTTCACAATCACTATACCAGGGCAAACAATCAAATATATATCTAACTCAAGTAAAAACTAATATGGCCCTGAATGACCCAATATCCAAATGTATTCAAACTTATAATACTCTACCAAATTTTATCGAAAACAAAGATAGTTATGAATCTTTCAAAAGAAAATTGATGATTTATATGAATGCAATCAATACTTAAATTAGTATGCAAGACGGCGAGTAAAAGGTACTGATTTTTTTTGTTTTTTTTTTTGTTTATATTTAATATGCTTCAAGACTGTGTACCCAAATGTAAAACGCTATTTTTGCAATTTGTACAATATAGAGAAAAGACACATGGACAAATCGAAACTAGCTGAACATATCCTAATTGAAGATGAAACAACATATTGCAGAATGGAATAATATTAACATCATTGAAAAAGAAGATAGCAACCAGAAGAGAAAACTCAAGGAATCTGCTTGCATTCTTCTGAACGGAGACAATAGCATTACTTCCTGTTCAGTTAATATAGATATAAAATGGTATTCAATATACTGAAATCTGAAAATGACAATGGTGAATGCAAGATTAATTAATGAAAACATCCTGTAACTCATTTGATTGCCAACGTCACCAATCGTCACTGAGAACTGAAAATTGTCAAGACAAATAAGAAATTGCTATCCAAATATCCATTTTTATGTTGAAAACGGGAGCAGATTCGTTCCCGAAACGTCCGAAGTGAAAATCTGATATTTTTTCTATATACCTTTATTTCTCTTCTCCAAACCTTTTTCAATACAAATTGTCACTGACAAGCTAGTGCATTTTTCTTTCAGGCTCTCTGATAGGAAAATTCTTTAAACGCAGTGACATTTTGGGGCAAATCAGAAAATGTGCATGTCCCTGTAGAGCTCTAAGGCTAAAAACATTCAAAAACAATTTCCATGAATGGAATCAGTTTATAAATTGATATAATTATGAATGGAAAAAGTTTTGTCTATGATGATAACATGACATTGAATGCGATAGATGACTAAAGGAACTGAAAAATTTCCTGTTGAATTATCAGCTAATCACTGTTGAAACAGATACTTATATTACTATACCAAACAGACTACTAATTTTTATTTTGAGGGAACCATGGACATAAAAAAAATCCTCCGTACACCGGAAGAATAAAGATTAGGTTAAAATCGTCATGTTGCGACATCGATATAAATAAAAGTGACAAATCAAGAGAAAAAAACATAATAATCATGACATCATGACATGTTTTTTGATAATGTTTTCGGTCCATAATTACCAGTTTGAGTTATTGGAGTTAAGTTAGGTAAGCTGAAAAGTTGAGTCAGAAATAATTTATTCTTGATATTATTCTCAAGATGCGGACAATACCTCTAAAACTACATGAGGACACTTTGTGGCACTCCCTTGTGTATACAAAAAACAACCAACTCACAAAAAACACACTACATGACGGAATTCAATCTTCAATTCAAGTCATGTATGTATTTTGTTTTTTTTTTGGCAGAAAAACACGAATTTGATAATGAAAATGTGAACAAACCATTATTTATCGAGATATTTCACTTTAAAGTTACAAATTTCACTGTCTTTTCCGCCTGTCTTTTGGATCGCATTTAGAACAATTTGCCCTTCTTTTTTCATCATCGGATAATTTATATATCGCAATGTACTTCAATGACACATTTTTTCTATTATACAGGGTGTTTCATTACTAATTGGAAATATTTCAACCATGGAATCCCAAACTCAAAATATGAAGATTTAACCCAAATCACCTAGATAAAATATGTCTCCTGTCTGAGTTACAGGGTGTTTTATTGAAAAATTTTGAAATGTTTTTTGCCCAGTTCTTCAAAACTATTCGACGTATCACTTCCATATTTGGAGGGAAATGTAGGTATTATACATCCAACTGAATTTTGTGAAATTAAATTTTCTAGCTATTACCAGAGGCGTACGACAGGGGCAAGTGACTGGTTGATCCTTCCCAAATTCTACGCCATTGGCGGAATTGCAATTTTATCAGAATTTTTCGATTCTTCAATACCTTCTTCGTAAATATTGTACTCTTTCTTCATAGCGATAAAGTCATTATTTTTCGAGATATTTCAAGTTAAACATGAAGCAGCAGAATTATTTTGATTTTAATGTGTATCAATGATGTCGATATTTTGGATCAATGGACTGCATTCATCAATCAAATGAAACTTCAATCCATATTTACATAAAAACATAACAGACGGGAGCTGTTACAGGTTACAGGGCGTTTTAATTTTTTTGATATATTACATAATTAAACACCCTGTAACAGCTCCTGTCTATTATATTATTATGTTTCCATTGTTAATATGGATTGAAGTTTTATTTTATTGATGAATAAAACCCATTGATCCAAAATATTGACCAAATTAATGCACATTGAAATCAAAATGATGGTGCAGATTTATGTTTAACTTGAAATATCTCGAAAAATAATGACTTTATCGCCATTGAGAAAGAGTACAATATCTACGTCAAAATTGTTGGAGAATTGAAAATTTCCAGTTAATTGCCCTAGTCGTACGCCTCTGGTAATAGCTAGAAAAGTTCATTTCACATGATTCAGTTGGATGTATAATACCTACACTACCCTCCAAATATGAAGGTGATACGTCGAATAGTTTTGAAGAACTGGGCAAAAAACATTTCAAAATTTTTGAATAAAACACCCTGTAACTCAGACAGAAGACATATTTTATCTAGGTGATTTGGGTTAAATCTTCATATTTTGAGTTCAGGATTCTATGGTTGAAATATTTCCTATTAGTAATGAAACACCCTGTATATTAAAAGTGTCCAATGACAAAATAAGAAGAGCAAGTAGCTATAAATGCATCCAACACAGGGGGAAAAAGAAGGCGAAATTTCGAACTTTTTCTTGAAATATCTCGATGAATAGTGGTTTGTTCACAT